GATGAATGAAATCCAAGGGACCAGAGAGAAGAGCAGATTTACCCCCTCCATCATATTTTCTTGGTTCTGCAAACTAATATCATCAAAGGCATCTACTTTCTACGATCCCAAGAAATATTTTCTTTTATCAGACAGAAATATGTCCACATCGTTGGACATCTATAATAAGACATGGCCTTATGGGTCAGGGTACCCTGAGGTTACCCATGAAAGAGCACAAAGGAAAAAGTACAGTAAGATTATATATAGAGAGAGAGAAATGATCACACGTATGGGTGATCATTCATATCCATTCTAGGTGACTGCCCACCTGGACAGAGCTCACTGGTGAAGGGACAGACAAAAAAAAAATAGGGCAATGAAGTTCTCTTTTTTGAAAATGTAAGTTGTTAGTGGAAAAATTCAGAACTTGCAGTTCAAGAGAGATGAATCACTTCAATCACAGTGCCTCAGGGCCCCCAGAGGTGCTCTGCTTCCTTTTGTAAGATGTAGTTAGTGAGATCTTCGTTCGACTGATACCTCTCTAGGTAATTATGCAGCGAATCCTATTCCTTGACTCTGTTATTCATAGTCAGTTTGGTAGCTTGCAACCAAGAAAACCGTACTTAGTAAGTATTTATTAATGTCCCCATTTTACAGATAAGGAAACTGAGACTTGGCAGAATTAAGAGAGAAATTTGTTATAAATCACCTACCTAGTGAGTGACAGAAGAAACACAGAAATCAAGCTCCATCTGACTCTAAAATTCACGCCACTAACCACTAGGCCATCCTGACTCTAAGTGTGGCACTGTAGATTATTTTTCTCATCATAGGATGGACTTTCACTGAGTCTTATTTTCTTTCTTGCTAAATAAATGGCAAACATTCAGAAAAAAACCATCCAGGGAAGAGGGTAGAATCTGCAGTGGCCTCAAACTGAAGCTTGATGGTCCACAAATAAATCAAATCCATATCCTTGCCTACTGACAAATGGCTCCCACCAAGTGAATTAAACAGCTGGCTATACTGGCAAGAAGATGCCTATGCTGTCCCAGGTCAATTGATCACATCTTCTTTAGAGAGACAAGCTAGAATGCGTCCTCTGTACAAGAGGACTTCACAGGATGACAGGTGGACTTCCAGCAGATTAAAGCATTTCAACTAAACTGATTGGCATTAAGTGGCTAAAACAGGCCTTTGCTTTTTAGGTCATGGAGACGTCTCCTACTTCTCTATGAATAACAAACCAAAATAGCTACAACTGAACAACTGGGATGGGTAGATATAGCTACATCTTCTTAGAATAGTATCAGATCATGCTGAAAAATCTAAATACGACATCAAGCCAATTGTCACATGTCAAGATTTAGAGCTGCTCATCTTCACAGGCAGTAGAAGCACTCTTTTCAGAGTATGAGCAAGAGTCATCCCTTTTTACTCTAAGAGAAAGATACTCATGAAAATTAACCTTAGTCTCATATACTCATATATTTCCTAGTTCCCTAACTTTACTCCCTTGTCTTGGGCTGACAACTTTGATCTGGGAGTTGCCTGTTCGACTAATCTGCTTGCTCACTTTGTTTGAGTTCTTGGGCTATTTTGATCTATTGCCTGACCTGGGCCATCCCCAACTCTGCTTCTTCTCTGAATATCAGTTTTCAACATCCTACCTTTGCTTTCTCCATTTTATATAAACAAGTGCCTCTTTCTGTCACTACTGTTCCTGATATGGGCTAGCAATATCAAGGGACTGATCCCACTATGAAGCCCAAGTATAGGACTCGGTTTGGGCTAGATGGGACACGCTGCCTTAGGAACTGTCTTAGACATCACATTTACTGCAAATGATGTATTCTAGACTCAGGGTTAATCCTTCTAGAAGAAAATTAAGAGAGAATGATAAACTGAGTGACCAGATTGATGGTGTTACGGCAGGTGGGGCAGCATTCCTTGATCCAAAGGGGATCACGCTCCCATCCAAACAATCTTAAAGACTTTTCCTTCACCACTCTTAGAAGCGCCTATAGTGAACACTGAGGGTGACAGGTAGTGAGAGGTCATAATTTTGTTAGAAATAGGAGACCAAAAAACCCAAGAAGCCTTGGGCCTCCTTTACCCGACCATCACTTCTCCCCTACAGGCATGGCTTCTCCCATCTGCACCCCACCATTCCCCTACAGACCTCCAGCACAATGTCCGCCACGTGTTATCACTTTTCCCACATTTCCCTTTGTTTCGCTGGAAGGAATATACACTCCTTGATCAAAATCGGGGGCTGTGTCAGTTTTTTTTGCAACTCCTATATCTAATACACTGCCTGGAACATACTAGGGTTTCAATAAATGTCTGTTGCATGTGTGAAAAATGAATAAAAGCTACTCAAAAGCATCCCCCCTGAGGAATCAGGTTTAATAAAGAAAAACAATGTCATTGGGAAGCTCTATTTTCTTTGCTAGAAGAGTGGAGTTTTATTATTTTTACACTCCACTGATTCATTCTGAACATGTTGTCAGGAACAATGCGGGGCCAAAAAACAATTAGTGGGGGAACAAAACAATCAGTTGAACCGTCTGGAATTTGAGCGATGTATAGATCAAATGTCTTAAATTTGCTAGGCTCCTTCCCATTTGGCCAGAATGGATGACTCTTGGCTGCACTGTACCAGGAATAATTATCCCCCATATATCCCCAATCAGCTGCCTTTTAATGACTAGTCAAAAGTGACAATGTAAAAGGTGCAGTGACTTTCACTGTACTTAGCAGATCTTGGACCAACTCTCATTGATCTGCCCTTGGAATAGGTGAATGCAGAGACAACTTACACAGATGTCTACAGTCACTGCTGCCCGTCTTCGGCAACCATAAGGCCCCTGGGTTAGGAAGAGACCCTAGAGGAAGAAGTGAGATGTCTAAAGTGACCTTCATTTCTTATACTACCTTCACAGACGGTGGAAGACCTGCAATACCCTAGCAATACCCGAACTGCCTCATGCATCTCAGAGGTCCAGTGACCCTTCTCTCTCCCCAACTAGCAACAGGGTAGTCTACCTTACAAAAAGGTTTGTCAAGTCCAGGAGTTTGACAGACTGGTCAGCCCCATGTAGCCCATTTCCATTCCAGATCGCTGCCTCCTCATCTTAGCTCATATTCTGGTTGTTGCTACTCTGAAAATTCAATGAACCTGAATTTAAATTCCATTAGACCCAAGAAGGCTCTTTATCCTTCACTCCAAAGACCTGTATCTTGTTTTTGGTCCAACAGAAGGTACATGTGCAGTTCTTTTGAAACACAACTAGTAATATAGATGACCTCACAAAAACCACTCTTTGAAAACATTTTGACTGGTCATCCAGTTCCTGTTCCAGGATATGTCCTCATCACCAGACTTATGATACTTGGACAATTCTGGCCACTGGCAGTCTCTAGGAATGAGACCCTACAGGTCCCTCCTCAAAACAGTCTTTTCTCTGAATCTCCATGTCTTCCTAGTTTGGTCCAGCTATGGAGACCATGCTACTGCTTTGTATTATTTATTACTGCTTTTTGTATAGATGTCTCGACTCCTCAGCTAAATAAATGATAAGCTTTCTGAGGATAGGAGCTACCTATTACAGATGCAGTATCCTCAAAGCCCTAAAGCTATGTCCTCGGGAAACACTTGATAACTATGCAGATCATTCTTTTCTATAAAATAGAGACTTTCAACCCATGGATCGCCAGCTTGATTCTGTATGCTTGGCACCTAAAACAATAAACCAGGCTGAACCTGGATATGGCTTATAGACTGGAATCTTGTCTTGATGTCTTTTTGTTTACCTTTACCTCTGCCCTTTACCCAAACTGTAAATTCAGTGCAAATGTAAAATGCTAAAGTGGTGAATAGAAAGGGGCTCTTTCTAGCATTCTGGCTTGTTCCAATCCATCAGCCCCCGGTGTCTGCTCCCCAGCTCTTTAGCCGGCCACCTCTCCTATACTTCTCCCCACGTTACTCCACGCTCAAGTCTATTTTAGACTTCGTCCAGTTCCTCAAGTGTGCCATGGCCATCTCTTGCCTCTATCTTTTGACACACACAGTCCTTCCTGTCTAGGACACACACCTTTCTCCCGCCTCCTCACCAATCTAACCCCAATTCATATTTCAAGCCTCAGCTTGCATATTCCTTCCTTGCAGAAGCTTTCTATGAGCCCCCAAAGGGCAAAGGCCTCCCAAACTTCTCTCTACTTTCCCTTTAATGAAGTCGATGAGAATAATTATGACTGCGACAATTACCACTACTCATTAAATGCTTACCGTAGTCCAGGAACCTATTGACTCACTTTGTCATCCTCAATATCTTGTGAAGAAGGTACCTGATTATTCACATTTTACAGATGAGGGAATCAAGTCTCAAAGATATTAATTATCTTGATAAGGTTCACATCACTCCATGACGGACAGATTTTTCACCCAGTCTGGCCCCAGAGTTCATGTTCTTAACGAATATATCATATGCCTCTTATAAAACGTGTCACCTTTAAAATTACTTAGTAATGGCTAAATATTCAAGAAGGGAGCAAGCTCTACAAGAACGGGGCTGGGTCTGTCTTGTTCAATCCTGTATTTCTAAAGCCTAACCCAAGAGTTAGCATGCAGAAAGCACCAAAAAGCATGAATTAAATGAATAAACAGAGATTTGGTTAATTCATCCAGAATCTCAAAAGAGATGTATTCACCCTCTCTAAATAGATGTCTGATACTTAATCAAAAGAGTATCATGATCATGGTAATGTTTATTCTAAATGTTCCCTTTCTGCAACTCAGCCCTCGTCAAACAAATCCATGTATCCAGAGCTTGAAATGGTACGATCTGGAAAGAAAGAAACCCAAGAAAACACTTCTCTAGAAGAAAGAAAGCACAAGTAGGTCCAAAGGGAGCACCTGCGGTAGCAAAGAAAGCACCAGGTGGTCCATCCAGGGACACAGCTGCAGCAGTCACACACACTCGGACCCAACATGCCTCCCACGAGGGCGGACTTACCCCTTTCGCAGGTTCTTCCCCAGTAGCCGGTGCCCGTACAGTCGCAGATGAAGCGGTTCCAGCCGTCCTTGCACACGGCGTTGTTCTTGCAGGGGTAGCTGTCACACTGCTTAGCGCTCATCCGTGAACAGGAAGACTTGACGCCCGCGGCGTTCTGCATCTCCGCCAGCTGCCGGATGTTCTTGCTGCGCCCATCGATGAAAAGGTCGCGGATGCAGCCCACATAGCCGTAGTTGAGCATGGCGGTCCAGAGCTCGGTGGGCAGGATGAGGCCAGCACGGTTCTCCGGCAGCCCGCCCAGATACATGTCCCCCTCCAGATCCAGGATCTCGCTCTCCCCACTGGCAGTGAAAGGCGTGCGCCTGCTGTTCACTGATATGGTACCTGCGATGGGAGAACAGAAACAGAGTGAGCTAACAGCTTCCTGGCATTGCAGATGCGGCTGCCAGTCGATGAACCAAATGAAAGGAGCTCAGCAGGTGAGTTCTGAGACTAGTGTCACTGGACCAGGAGAGAAAAATGCAAGCAAGGGAACAAAATGCTGCAACATGCTGGAAAGGACAATGCAGGTAATGTGGTTCCCATCTCTGCCAGGTAATACAGCCTAACCCACAGGAGACAGGCCATCCCAGTGGCCTAGTACCTAGCATGATGTCCTTTCTCTAGCTAGAAGTTCTGGCTGAGAGGTCACAAACCATATAGGCTGAGTTCCTGCCTGTGTTTAAATCCCAGCTCTATCGTGTACTAGCTATAACCTTGAAGAAGAGACTTCATCTTCCTGGGCCTTAGTTTCCTCATTTGTAAAATGGAAAAATAACTGTCCCCACCTCATGGGTTGGTATGATGATTAAATGAGCTCATACATGTAAAGTCCTACTTAATCTGTGCCTGGGGCAGAGTAAGGGCTCTGTAAGTGCTCACCTAAGTCTTCACCACTGGCTCGCCACCCCCAAAGGATGGAGCCTTCCATGCGCCAATACCCTCCACACTGGCATTGGCTACCAGGCCCACCAGTGAACATCTGGGGCATTGCCTTTGATAAATTTTAACTGGAACATGTTTCTTCATTTATTTAACAAACATGTATTGAACACCTGCTCTGCCTCTGGTATGGTTCTACACACAGATAAACTTGACAGGCACATCCCTGTTCTCGTGGAGCTGATGTGCCAGAGCAGAGGGACGGAAACTAAACACATCACCCAACAAGAGAAATTAGCTAATGGCGGGGGTTAGGAAGAGAGTAAAGTGGGTGCCACAGCAGCAGCCCACGGGTTCCACTTTAAAGTGTATAGTCAGTGAAGGCCTTTCTGAGCAGGTGACAGGTGAGCTGAAACCAGAATGCTGAGAAAGATCCAACCATGCAGAGTCCAGCAGTCTGAACATGCCAGACAGAGGGAATGACACCGACGAAGAACCTGCGGGAGGCGGGGCTGTGGCTAGGGTAGAAAAGGCAAAGGGCCGTGAGCAGGATACAAGGTCAGAGAGAGACTGGGTTCATGACCTGGGAACTTGGGGACAAGGATTCTAGTCCTCAATGGTGAAAATAACCCAAGGCTGGTCCCTGAGTCACTTACAGCTCAATTTCCTAAAGTGTAAAATCAAGGTGATATATAAACATCATGCCATGAAATTATTTAGTAAAAATTATTTAGTATTCTTCAAGTGTTTAATTGGTACCAAGATAACTGGGTCGTACCATCATCCATCAGCCAGCCTTCACGTCTGTCTGAATCTCAATTCTCTAAACTATGAAGGGGATATGGCCTGAGGACTGAAATCAGCTGAGATTAAGAATGTGACCTACACTCTAAATTACAAAGTCAACACAGGGGTAGGGGAGTAGAAAGAGCATAAAGGACCTCAGGGAGGATTAAGCCAACAGCTTTCTTCCCCTGCGCTCTTCCTAGAAGTTTTCTCCCTGAGAAATCTCTCCTTTGCCTTTTTTGTTGTTGTTGTTTTTAATCTTTTAAAAACCTACGTAACAGTAATAATGTCTTGGCCACGATTTAAGTATTTTATATGCTTTTGGGAAGACTTTTTCCGTAAAACAGATAGGAGCTACTATGTCCACTATTTCACAAATGAGTTGGTTTGTAACTCCTCTCTTACACACTTTACCCTCGACATATCTATAGAACTACCCTCTTTGATCCCCAACCTAAGGAGAGGAGCATCTACTGCCAAATAAGGACAGTACCAGAACCAGTTTAAATGCTGGAGCCTGAATTACACCCTGAGGGAAATCTGTCTGCTGGGTGTGTGACCACAACTGTTTTGAATGCACCTATCAAGTCTTAAAAATCACTCTCCCAACTGGAGAGTGATCACAAAAGTATTTCTATTTCACCTCTCAGTCACACTCTTCAGGATGAGCAAGGAAAGAGGCACCACATTCGGGTAGAATGATGTTTTTATAACTATTCATTTTAGAATAGGTTTATAACTCAAAACAACATACTACAAAATATCCTCATGAAGAAATGACGTTTAGTAGATCATGTTAAAATTTTATGTTACACTGTTTTCACGGGACAATTATCTGTTTACTTGGTAAACATGTATAGGTTTTGATCAAATTTATCAGTATTTCAAAGTACTGGCCAAGGTTATAGCTCCCAGGTAAGAAATTCAAGGCTTCTGAAATCCAAACACATCTGTCAAAGCTGGGTTCACTGATAGTTCTAACAAAACAAAATAACTGCTCTACTTGAAAAAGCAGTTAGCACTGAGAATAAACAGAAGGAGATAAATGGCAATTTTATGGGTTCTAGCCTGCCTGTAACACAGGTAGGTAACGTTTAAGCTGTGACAGTCAATCAGGAAACCCAACAAAAATTACCCGCCTTCAGAGACCCAAATGCATGGTCTCAAAAACCAACAAGAGCATTCCCTTTATAATTCTGAGACAGCTTTATGGCTCCACTCCTGCTGACATTTTAAGGCTAAACTTAAGAGAGAAAGAGAAAGATACAGCCTCCAGAAAAAAAATAATTTTTGTGTATTTTTCTGTTAAAAAAAAATACAAACTTTATTCTTGCTCAAAAGTACACTTAATTTGGAGCCTCTTGGATCTGATCAGATCTTAGACAATCAATAAAGCATCCTACTGGGCAACAAGCCATCTAGGGCTGCAATCTGCCACCCATCTGCCCTCTGCACAGAACCCATCCAGCACCTCTGAAAGGGCAATGCTGTTCATCTCCATCATCACTCTAGCTCTGGAATTATGCGGAAAAGCCATTCCTGGCTACAGCCTTTGGGGGGAGGGGTACATATTTCTTTCTATTTATTGGCCAAATTCACCTAGAAAGAAAATCTCCAAATGGAAGACTTTTTGTGTTTACCAGGAGAGTGAATCCTTAAAAACTACAGCAAATACAGCAAGACCCTTCCTGAGTATAATACTACCTAAATGGAGAATCGGGAAATACGTGTAAAATTCAAATGCTTTAACTATCACTCCAGGTTAAATGTCCTTTCTGATGGCACAGAATGTGACCTTCATTGCCACATGGTCCACAAAGAAAGCTAACAGACTGCTCAGGCATTCAAAAGCTCCAAACTATTTGTAGGGTTTTCTTTTCCCTCCCTCTCTCTGTTACTATTCCAGAGTGGCCATGTACTGCCTAGGGCTAGCTTGTTTGATCTGCGGCTGCAGAAACAAACAAAGCCATTTAAACCAAATGTAAAAGGTTAGGAAGAGGAAGGGAGAGTTACTGAGGTCTGAGCAAAGAATGAAATATAGGCTTTCACACCAAAGAAAGGCTTTAAATTGAATATGACTTCAGGAAAAATCAATTTTCCTTTTCCTTTCTTGTCATAATTTTTCCCTGCAACATGGCTCTTGCCAATTATCGAAGGGTGTATTATTGCATAAACCCTTGCACAGTAAAGCTTATCTTACAGAGTAACCATATAATGCAGCATCTGTGATGTCACAATTGGTTCCCATGGTGATGAGAAAAAGAAAAAGAAGAAGAAAAGAGAGGAAAAATCATCACAGTGACATGACAGTTGCTTTGTAGCTGTGGAAATGCTACTTAAAAAACCACCCTTAGCTCCAGGGTCTTGGAGCTATCACCGAGATGACTGTGCAATGAATGACAGGGTAGATGAGGAGCAGAATTTGAGCCGTTGAGGAGACAGGTGTCTTGTTCCAAAAAAAACAATCTTACAACAATCATAAAAGAGAACAGCAAAAGAATCAACAAGCATGCAAGTGCAAAAGTTAAAAAATATAAAGCCGGGAAACAAACTGAGAAGCCAAAGCTTCCCTCTCGTCTCAGTGACCTACGCCGCCTCTTCCTACCTGATCTGCCATCTCGCTGAATGTCCACATGGTACCATTCTCCATCGTTGGCTTTCTTCTGAGTGGCTTTCACTTTGATGGTGCCAGAGCCCATGTCAAGCAGCAGGTACAGGTTGCCATCGAGGAGTTCCACGGCAAAGAAGTCCACCTTGGTGTTCTTCTGGCTCCGAGCATCCTTCCTCTCCTGGGGCTTGCCATGGGTGAAGAGGATCAGGCCATTGGGCTCAGTAGTGCGGAAGTCAAAGGAGATGGAACCCATGCGTTTGGTGTTCCATTTGGGCAAGCTGATGTAAGCCTCTGGGGTCTCAAAGTTGATGGGGTCCAGCGTGGCCACGTTCTCGCACTTGAAAACAACTTCACCGTAGATTTTCATCTTGGTATCTCCGATCCGGGCCAGGCGAGACAGCTCCAGACGGATGTCATTATTCTTATAAACAACCTGTCAAAAGCCAAACAAGTGCCACATGAATCAAGCTGCTAACAGTAACCATCGATTGCTCACAGGGCACCCAGGAAAGAGGCCCAAGACAAGGCTTCAGGATACAACAGTTTGAAACATTATGAGAAACATGAGACACAGCATTTGAAAAAGCATCTGAAGAGACCTCTGAGATGTACACAAGCCCTAAATAAGCTCCTACATTTCCATTCTTTTTGTCTGTCTCCTTCTGGCCAATTTTTGTTTTGCCAGAAAGTTATACAACATAAGCTTGCAAGTAGAAATCAAGGGAGATTGAGTTACACAGATGCAAATATATATGTACGAAGATATTAATTAAAGTGTTCTCAGTAAAAGACCAGCTTGAAACAACCTAAATGACCACCAATGATAGATTGGCACATCCTTAAGATGAAAAATTATATGGTCCTTAAAAACCAAGTAGTACCCCCAATTTTGATGTGGATGCTCTCCAAGTAATACTACGAAGTGAAATTAGCGAGAAACAGATCAGAGCATGCATTATGCTATCACTGTAGAAAGTGTGCGTTTGGGAGGAGGGAAGTGTTACAGGTATATATGCTCGTAATGCATAAAATATCTTCAAAACACAAGAAACTATAAAATTGTCACTGGAGAGGAGATTTGTCAAATTAATATTCAGGGATGTGAGGGAGACTTACGTTTCACAGTACCTTACCGTATTTGATTTTTTTTTTTTAACTGTGTGGGTATGTTGCTTAAAGAAAATGATAAAGTGTTAAGAGTTGGCAGGGAAGGAGATCTGTGTTCCTTTGCACATTGTGTGTGTCACCCAGATACATATAGTGTGAGAATGAAACAACCTAACAAACAAAAAATCCACATAAAAGCAGGGATTAATCTTATTTGCCAAAATTAGAATTTCAAAAAGGTTTTGCTGCTACTAGACCCGAATTCTAATGCACTGGCCTGAGATATGAGATAGGTCCTGGACCTCTGATCTCTAAGCAATGTCACAAGTATAAAATAAATAGAAAGAAAATGGAAGGGAAAGGCTAATTAAAGCACTGATTATGCCAATCACTTTGCTATGTCCTGTACATTATCTTACTCCAATTCTAAGTCAGGATCCAGATTTAGGTTCAAGTCCCACATTCACTACTCAGAAGCTATGTGACCTTGGCAAAGTTATTTAACTTATCTGGGTCTGTTTTCTCCTCTGAAAATAGGAACATGGGAGGAAATGATTTTCTAAGAATGAAATGAGTTAATACATGTAGAACACTTAGGAATAGCACATAGCGAAGATATGAAACTCTAAGCTATTTTGAGGGGCTGTGGTTGTAGTTGTTGTTAATCTGATTTCATCATATTCACAGCCCAGAGAAGGCTGTGTTATCAACTCCATCTTCAGTAAAATAACAAGACTTAAGTGTAGAATTAAGTCTTACAATCCATCTCAGTGATAAAAAGTTAATTGGATGAGTTGTTCCAGTACCTATCCTTTAATCCCTAACATCCAGCTGTACAACTGCTCCCCTTCTCTCCCCTGTCACCAGGAGAGAATCAAACAGCGCTGTCTGCCTTTTAACATATCACCAATGACAAAAAATTGAAAATGCCTCACCTGCGATATGACCCTGTCCTTGGGCCTAACCATAGTCCATAACACTGAAAATAATGATACTAATACTTACTACCAGGCACAATACTAAGAATCTAAGACCTACTATCTCATTAATTCTGACAACACCCATTTGAAATATCCCCATCATTCCCCCCATTTTACCGATGCAGAAACGGACGTGGAGAGTAGTTAGGGAACCAGTCCTCAGTCACAGTGCTGGTAAGTGACAGAGCAGCACTTGAACCCAAGGTGCTGGGCTCCGGAGTCCACATGCTTTACCACTGTGAACACTAGAAGCGATGTCCTGCGAGCAGCTGCCCTGAAGCCTCTCTAACGTTATGTGGAAAGTCACGCATGTTCAACTCCCCAGTTCAAAAACTGAATTTTACATCATACCTCTACTGGACTGACCATGAGCAAATGGGAAACAGTGCAGAATCCTTAGGCCACCACTTAAGTGAGTGAACCAGAAAACAAATAATAAAAGTTTAATGACTGACAGCTTCTCCTTTCTAACCACAACTATTAAGGCCCAGCATATGAGATCTCTCTGTCATAACCGAACTCTGGCTTCCTCTACACTGGGTTAAATGCCTACGACTGGAGCTCCTTTTCAAGGTTAATTATTAATGCGTAGCAATACCTCATCCCAAAGGGACAGACTGAGGCTTGGCTCCATTGAACAATAAATGAAAAGAGAGTTCAGGCATCCCTACAGGAGGCGAGAGGAAAAAAAAGAAAAAAAGTCTTTTAAAGAGATGCGGAGTCCTGTGACGGGGAAGTCTTCTGTGAGAAGGGTACACGGCTGAGGCTGGGACAGAAGTGAGTAACTGGAATGCAGATTTCCAGAGAGACAGACAGAAGAATAAGGGCCAGAAACTGCCAAAGATAACCAGACTTCTCTCGAAAGCTCTTTGAAAGTGAGCTCTCTATCTACTCTCTGACCTTGAAATTACTTGTCTACATATACAGTTTCCGCACCTTTCTTACTAAGACTCAGGTAACCTCTGCATTCTATTTTGTTCATTCCCTTGTCTTCTCCACCTTCCCAGTGTAGGGCCATGGCCACAGCCATGTAGAAATGTACCAGCACCTTGAGTAGGACACGAAAGCAAGAAACCCTACTGGACCTCCTTGCAAGGTAAATTAGCATCTGGTATAGTGTTCTCTGTAAAATCAGACTTTCAACTAAATCAAAGTCCCCAACTGACAACTGAACTAGAAAGAGATGTGGCATCGAGTGACAGAAAGCAGCTTTGGCTGACAAGTTACCCCAAGGAGGAGCAATTAAAGACAAAGTAGAAAAGGCTCCCCATGGGGGAAGATGCCACACAGCCTGGGAGGCAGAGGTAGAGTCACGAAGAATGACAAGCTGGTCTTTCTACTCTACCCACAGCTTATAAAAACTGCTGTTTGGACTCACATCTCCCGCTCAGAAGGCTAGACAGTAAAACAGTTGAGAACAAACTCTGAGTTAAGACAGACTCTCTCAGAATTGTACTTGTATGCCTCCATAATCTTTAATACAGAGGAGCACAAAACAATACCAGGAGTAAGGCAAGCTATTGTAGCAAGAACAATATAATAAAAATAGTTGTCACCTATTGAGTGCCTACGATGTGCCAGACACTTTAAAAACACTACTGTATATCATCTACATTAAGCATGTAAAGTAGTTGGCATGAGACCCATTTTACAGAAATGAGGCTCAGAGAGGATAGGTATGACCAAGATCACAAAGCCCATTAAAGGCATAGCCAGGACTTGAACCCAGATCTTTCTGATTGCACTGGGGCAAGAAATGGCAGCTTCTAGACTCTGCAGTGGCCTATACCTACCCAGGAAACAGAAACCCCTTTGTCATGCACAAACCCACACGCAGCTCTCTCCTGATGTTCAAAGACCGTCACACCTGGCATGTCCCTCTCTCATAGATGCCTACTCCTCCCTGCACAGAGTCACCTCGGAGGCCTCTGCATGAATTCAGGTGGTAGAGCTTCCACATCTTTGTCCCGCGAGTTTCCTAGGCTATAGGGCCGTCCTCTCCTCTCAATCTCTTTAAATGGTGCCCCTTCACCAGGATCTATATCCAAACCCATTCCGGGCCCTACCTGGCTGCTCCGGTCCTGGCTGATCCCTGCCATTTGATAAACTTAGAATCCTGATATTGCCTGCTATCTTCCCTATTGCCTAAACCACCTGCCCTAACTGGAAAAAAAGACTATTCTAATTTACATGACGTACTTTTTACAATTAAACTCTTCCACAATGCTCGTGTTACATGGCAAGTCCACGAGGGTGAATCTAATGGGGAGACAGCCCCAGCTCACAGAAGTATTTCTCTTCGCCCTCATCCATCTCATCCCAGGCCACTCTGTTTTCTGTTTTCTGAGAACATGTTTCCATGTATTTTGTTGTAAATGCCACATCCCTACGCACTCCAGTGAGGGAACTAGAGGGAAGGGGGGAGTGTGGGCATGGGCCCTGCAGTGCCCAGATGGCTTCTTGGAACAATTTCTCCTGTTAAGGAATAGGAGGTTTACCATCTGGCCTTTCTATCCCCTTGTTTTTAAAGCACCTTTAATTCTCTGTGGGTCTACATATAGGACAATTTCAATAAAAACAACCAGGTCGACTTACAAGACCATAATTTATAGGTCCATGACTTCATGACTGAGCACCACTACTCCGATCCAGGTCAGTGGAGGATGTTTGAAGGTCAGGACGCCAGGGGACAGCCTCTCAAGTGTATAGGTTAGACAAAACAGAACCGTGAGAAGCCAGTGTCAGGGTGCTTTGATGTGGAACAATGTCGACTATAAATCCCAATAAAGCTTTTTAAATTTATACCTATGTTTGGAGCAGTTCATATACAACAAGTAAAAGACAAAGACAGATTTCTCTGTCACCCAAATTTAATCCTCTGACAATAGATAATAATGAAATGAGCTTTTTCTCTGCAGCTCCAGGATGGTGTAGCTTCTAGATAAACTTTTGGACTAATCTTATTGTTGTGTAACATTTCTACTTAGAGTAAATAAATAAGTACTGTGAAAGAATCATGCTTCTGGGGTTGCCACAGAATCACACATCCTACTTTCTCTCCCCCACTTCCCCTCTGTCCTGCAGGCAACTGATGACTCTGGTCTGCTGTAATTTCCCCTCGTAGGAACTGTTGGCTCCACTGATTTGTCACTCACAATCCTCGACCTTGCTGTCTTTGAATAAGCACAGGTCTTGTCTTCTCAACAGACTTCAAACACTTTATCAGCAAAAAGTATGCATTACAGCTTTTAAAATCTGAAATAGCACCTAGCTATCCTGCTGCTCAATAAATGCTTATATCTTCATTTACTTAGTTGTTGGACTCAAATGGCAATACCAGGTAAGA